AATAAACACACACATGCAGGATCTAGGAGAACATTAAATTTTTTTTAGGAGACAGGAGGGGTCTTCGAGGAGGTCACATGGTCTGAGCAAAGTGAGGCTGGAGATGGGCTAGAGAGCCAGCTTCCAGGACTTCTCTTCTCTACAGAAGAGCCAGGCGTCTGAGCCCCTTTGCATAAGGCCCCGGCCCTAGCACCATCATCCTGCTTTTATGTGGATATCTTGGATGCTATCCCCACCTGTGAACTGCAGACCAGAGCACATAGGATGCATGCACCGTTCTGTATGGATGCTCTGCTTCAAGTGCCGCTGCACTATCGCTGGGCTCAGTTCTTACCCAGCCCTGACACTAACTCAACACCTCTGGCTTTGATTCTACCTCCACTCCTCCCTGAAACTCTGATTCCCAGAGCTGTTCTTTTCACATTCAGCTAAGGGAGGAGACATTGAATGTAAGCAATAAATGTCTTTACAGTGTGGGACCTAAGGGTGAGAGCAAGTTTAACTGACTTCAGGCTCTGAGGGCAAAGGAATGCTCACCCAAGTGGTATTGGAATTTCCAAGAGGAACTGTCAGCATGGTAGCTGAGGTAGGATTGCCTTTAACTTGTGAGGCCGTGTCTCAAAACATAAACCACAGAAATGATTTTACAAGAGAAGACTAGAACATGTTGCAGATGCTAGAGAAAGGCAGGGCAGGGGCACACAGGGAAAAGAAAAGCTCTGTCCTGACTTTAAATGATTTCTGTCTCTCAAAAACAAACATACAAACAACAAAAAAAAACAAATGCCTGTCTCCATGAGCACACACGGCCCTGGGCAATTATTTAAAGACTCCAAAAACTAACAGTACAAGTCCATTCACTCAAAACTCCACCCCCACCCCACCCCCATTCTAATACCTGGACGCCAAAGCAAACAAAACAAACATGTTTTCGAGATATTAGGACCTGTGACTACACAAAATCCAACAGACCAACTATTTGGTTTTGCAACATCCTGTTCTGACTACTGGAGAGACACAGCATTCTGCAGTCACCACTAGAGTTGGTCTGTAGGACTCAAGCCCAATGAGTCACTTTCCTTCCCAACAACCTGTCCTTGACTGGGGCTCTTCCTGAGCAAGTCAACAGACACAGGATTTTAACCATAGCTGTAAGGAAAGTTAGCCTAGTTCTTGCCTCACACTCACATTAGCCACAGGAAAAAGAAATCACTGATTTTAAAGAGGGGTTTCCGTTGAATGTCTAGACCATGCCAATCATTAACTCTATTCACTAAAACAACACTCTGAAAAGTGATCCTACCCTATTCCACAGATAAGTAAAACACATTTGCAGAGGACCACTGAGTTGCCTGAGGCCACACAGCCAGGGGCAAGGCTGGCATTTGAACCCAGGTGTGCCTGGTTCCCATGGTGGGGGTTGTTCCATTCTTTCAAAATACAACTTCAAAGAGAAAATGCTAACAAGGGTAGGGACCAAAGAGCACTGGGGCTCACAAGTTCACAGCCAGTGTGGTGATAAGCTGCTGACCACAGCTGAGAACCTAGGAACTCAGACTCATAGCTGATCTGGGATGCACCATGGAAACTCCATTCAACAATCACAGTCCAAGGATAAAGCCTCTCAGCCTCCCAAGACCCACTTGAATATCACCTACAGTCTTTACGTTTCATACCTTCGTTTTCATCCGTCTTCATTCCTGGCCAACCTGTCTTTCACATCAGCTAATGATTGCATATCCCTCCTGTTACTTCATTATGATTTGTATGCTCAAAATACAGAATTGTGACCTCTGGGTGAGGACGGGGCTTAGACACAGATTTAGCTTCACTTTGGCCCAAACCCCACCAAAATCTCCACAGAGGTCTTAGAATGGTGGGGGTAGGGGGGTGCTTTTTATTTTCAAGCACAAATCAAAAATAAGAGGGAAAGAATACCACAGCAACAGAATTTTAGAAGCCAGAGGGCAGATGAATCAATATTTCATGGTTCAGCCAGCCGAAGAAAAACTGAATTGTAAGCTGGCCATTCTAAAATAAGAACCATTTAGATTTAGACAACAGAATCCCTAGTGGCTGGGACTGGCGGCAGCAGGTGCCTTTGGAAGTAGAGATGGGGAAAACATGCTATAATGAGATGGATTGAAAAATCTGTGAAAGCAGCTGTCATATATCCCGGTCCCCACTCTGCAGTGGGGCACAGCTCCCCTATCTCATGGTCAACTGAAGACTGCACTTCTGGACAAATTGCAAAAGTTCTAGTAAAAGTGGGTAGGCAGCCCAGGAGAGTTTGACAGGAAGATGTTAACAGAAAGATTACCCAGGATGTCTGAATGTCTTTTGGAATTGAATCAACTGAAAAAAAAAACCTGATACTAATTGTAAGGAAAACGGAAAGGCACAGAAGGGAAAGTAATCCCACTTTGCTACATAGCCAGCAGAAACGAGAATGGGGGTGCAAAGATAGAGACATGAGGGGGAGATGGAAAAGTACAGTTCTTGTCTTCCAGAGAACAGATAACTTCTAAAATGAAGCATCAATGACAAAAAGCACTGGTCCAGCAACATGGAGGTAAATTTTAAATTAAACTTTTTAAATTAATTTATTTATTATATAAGTGTTTTGCCTGTATGTATGTCTGCAGGCCCAAAGAGGGCACTAGATCTCATTACAGATGGTTCTGAGTCACCATGTGGTTGCTGGGAATTGAACTGGGTCCTCTGGAAGGGCAGCCAGTGCTCTCTTAACCACTGAGCCATCTCTCCCCAATTACACTAAACTCGGACAACTTCCATGTCTCTAAACCGGTAGGCTCTATCAGATATAAAAGTTGAACTTTCACTCTAGAACTCAGTGTCCACACTCATGACTTCATTTAATTCTGATCAGGCTGATGTCTACCTAACAACCCAAGAAATAATAATAAACTTTTAGCATAAGAGTCACTTCATTGAACAATTTCCAGATGGTATGAATTAAAGCACCTGAACATCATGGCACCTTTGTTCCTAGATGGCTTGAAAGACATAAACAATGCTAAGACAGTAACCCAGCCCTTCTCTAGTATTCCACTTCAACTAGAGATCACCAAGGACCTAAGTACTTACAGTAAGGAGAGAGCCTTAAGGTTCATTTTAGTGACTGTTGGCATCACCTTATCCCAGCTTTACTTCGGAATTTAAAAAAACAAAATCAAAAAACTCCATAAATCCAGATTCAGCTAGTCTTGTATAAAACCCAGGCACCACTATTTATAAAGTCATCAGATAATTACAATGGGCATCCAGGGTTACTAACAACAGAGCTGAGCTATCCTCTGTATTTAAGAAGACATTTTTAGGAATTGCTACACACAGCAAGGTGGGGAAGAGCTAAGTCTAGGTGCTTCTTGGCATACAATGAGTTTACTCTCCCATAACCTTAGCATAAGCTACAATAGGTAGAAAATACACTTTTTATACCTTATATAATACAGTGTGGCCTAACCTGCCTAAACATACAGAGCACTGAGCTAACTAACAGGCAAAATCCTCTAACATATGGCATACTTTATAAAGTATTTAACACAAAATGCTTTCTAGGCTAATCTTTCATACCACTGCATAAAGCGAAACATCGAACTATCCCAAGTTGGGCATTATTTTTAATGAATTCCTACAGCATTTGCTTCTCACCTCTCTGAGCAGGTCTACCTCAGAAGGAGAAGTGAAAGGCTTCTGATGTGAACATCAACAAGCTTCTGAGAGGAAAGTGTCATGAGCTTGGATCCTAGTGAGGAGAGCAGGAACTAGAACCAGTGGTGTCTACAAGCTGGTCCTTGAAAGGGATGAGGGATGGCATCTGTGATCCTCAGAGCACAGCAAGAATCACACAGTGAGGGCAAGTGCCCATGAACGGGGTATGTGACCACTCATAGTCAGTTCCTTGGTCCCAGGTCACCATAACCTTTACCATAACCCTTACCTCACCTAACCCAGGCTCTGTTTCAGTCTTTCTACTGTCAACCTATTTATACAATAAAAATTCAAGTTAACCGAGCCTAACTTCTTCCCCTAAATTTTGGTCAGGCCAACTGCTAAACTGAAGCTAAGTACAGCTTATTTACAATTCCAGGCACTCCATCACAAATGTCTCATTTCTACCTGTCATTTTATTTATTTGCAAAACAGTAGGAAATTGAATGGATTTTAAACTAACGAAAGTGCAAAAACCATTGTAACTAGGACCCAAGTATCTAATTTTAAAAACTAATTCTTTTACTGTCATGTAACCCTACTAAAACTAATTTCAGTATCCAATAACAATGACAAATAGATTTAAAATGTATAAGATATGAAATGTGAGACAGAGATGTTCAGCTTTGAGAAAGTGAGCCAGAGAAATGGTTTGACAAGTGTTCCGTGTTTATTTATTGGTTAGTGGGAATACAGCCCATCAGAACACAAGGCATGCATTTGGGGAAGAACTGAGTCACCTGTGCACTTTGGCCATTCAGTAAACCTTCGAGGCATCACAGATGGGACCCAATGATATGGCAGGGGTGATTTATCTGCCTATTGTGGCTAAGATTCCAGGTGCAGATTTTTTTGGAACCGTTTACTTTTCATTACTCAGAATTACATCAGAAGGGGAAGGCCCAGCCTGAGCCCTGCTCTTAGACTGAAAGCTGAGGACTTAGTTGAAACCATTTAAATAAACATCATCTGAATCATGTTCACTGCAAATTTTAACCCAATTCCCCTTCATAAATTTTTCTTTATCAATTCATACACCTAGAATCAGAAGCACGGTGTGGATTTAGAAAAGATTAATAGCGAATGTAAAGGACTATGTATTCGATCCCAATATCTACAACTGCAGTACTTAATACTACATTTTTATGTCATATGGCCAATTTCTCTTTTGGACATTTGCTAAAACATGTATGTAATAAATTAAGTAATTCCAGTGACATTTAAAAGGACAAAAACATAAAGTTGATGGAAAATCAGACCATAAGTAAAAACTATATAAGCATTTATCATTTATTTAATACAGTGATTGTAACCTACAGTACGATAAAATGTCTCCCCAACTAAAGAGTGACATGCCATGTATTTTCTTCAAATTTTGTTATGAGTATTTTTGTTAAAGGGGCATCGATGTCACTTGATGTTCAAGTCACACCTACTGCTTTTTATAGTAATGGGAAGAAAAACATATAGACAGAAAAAAAGCTACTACACCCAAAGGGACATCAAGAGATGGTTTCAGATTTTTGTTCTTTTGCAGAGGCAGTCTTATCTCATGAACATTTTCCCTTCCTTCATGCTTCAGGGCACTTGGTTATGGCCTGCAGCGCTGGACGAATCGAGGGTACAAGCACACATCTCGGATATGATACCTGTTCAGAATCCAACTTAGGAATCTTTCCAAGCCCAAGCCATAGCCTCCATGAGGACATGTACCATATTTTCTCTGTTAAATAAATGAGAACAAAGAGAAAGAAATGTATGCTTACTTTAAAACTATAATTAATCATGTTAAAATTGTATAATGAGCTAACTTCCACAATATAACAGTTAACTCACTGTAGTAATAATTCAACCCAATTCCACAAACCACGAAGAGAGGACAGTTCAGTCTAAAAACACATTGGGGGTTGAAAGCTACCCTAAAAGGAAGAGGTAATTTCAACCTTTCAAACTAATTACCTTGATTTATCAGAGGAGACTGAAGGACAGTATTAGTTGTTGGTAGGATCTAATAATATACTTAAAAACTGAAGTAGGGACTAGCAAGGTAAGGTGGCTCAGCAGTTAAGAGCACCAGCTGTTTTTCCTGAGGGCCTGGGGTTCAAATTCCAGCACCCACTTGCTAGCTCACTATCTGTAATGGAAGCTCCAGGAGACCTCAAGCCCTCTTCTGGTCTCTGAGGGCAATGCAGGTGAAACATACATGCAGGCAAAACACCCACACACATCAAAGAACAAAAACAGCCTACAGCAGATAAGGAGCTTTACAAATGAAACTGGTCTGTAACTTGCCTAAAGACAAAAATGGCAATGTCCAAATGCTACATGAAGCAAGCACAGCTCATGGATGACCTGGGATTCGAGCATCCAATGCAATACAATACGATACACTTCAATGTATGCAAAAAGTATTACAGTGAAACAAAAATTAATGAAGTTTAAAAACTGTTTTTACCTGATCTGTATACCAATAATAAGGAGCAGGGTCAATTCCTTCCCTTTTATAGCCTTCTAGAATTTCTTCACTATCCCAAGAGCGCATAGAGCCACCCACAATCTCACCAACATTGGGCATCAACACGTCAACCTTTAAATAAGTCAAAAAACAAACAAACAAACAAAAAAACATCACAATCACTGCCAGTCTACCAGACACAATTGCAAGACTTTAAGAAAAATTACAACTAGGCTCCTAACTTGAAAGGAAGCCCTGTGACTATGCAAAATTCAAGTATTACTCAAATTCTTTATCAGAACATGTCAACCCTGATCAGGGAAATTTTTTTTCTTTAATTAGTCATTCTAAGATTTATGAAATGCTTGCCATGAGCTATATCTTATCCCAAATGACAGTCCCAAGTCCCTTAGAAGAACAACTTTTCTAATACTCATAGAATCACAAACTGACAGATTCAGTAAGTCGAGGATCCTCAGGACATCGCTGCATATAGAAGGACTTGATCTCCACAGGAAACCGACACAGCAGGATTGGTTCATTAATGGTGTCTGTCATCAGTCTTTCAGGAGCTTCGGGAATATCCTGAGGTTAAACCAGATTTCATTAACATTTACAATTGCCAATACAAAGCAGCTCTTTCACCCCCAGTCATAGCTCTGGCTATGTTTCTATAACATAGCCCTAAAAACCACACACATACATATAAGAACATTTTCTTCTAAAAAGGAATAAAACTGACTTGTGGCTATCAAGGGAACTGTAGGAAGATCTGCTTCTTTCAACACCCCCCACCCCAGTAACCCCAACACACACACAGTGTGCTGAGTGCTGCTAGGGAATGATCACACCACCCAGATATCTCTAAACCATGACAAGATACTGCTTAGTTTCTTGGTCAGTAGCCAGATCCAAGCTCTCAAACGAACATGTCCAACTTGGTCTCCAGAGCAGAACACAATCAGTGTATACTCCAGGACATCGCCAATCTGCAGGGTACTGATGGCAATCATCTTTAAACTGTGACCTGCACTCCTTTCCTGTTACAGAAACCATTTATTCAATAGTAGAAACAGTCATAAAATAAATAAATGACATCAAGTTTGCAAGTGTTATTTATCATACCTGCAATAATAGCCAAAAAGTATTAGATGATGATCAACCAGATAAATTAGTCTCTCTCCCAAAACATCCTCTAAGAAACCATATTCAAACCAGAACTCTCCAGTCCCAGTAAAAACTGATGAGAACTGGACAAGACTCAGTGATTTGTTTAAGAACTGACACAGAACTGGGCGGTCACTGGCTCTGGTCCCTGAAGTCCTATGCCTTTAGGCATGAAAGCCAAGATGATGAAAGCCAAGATGAAGATGGGGAACAATCTGATCTCTTAGCTTGGATCTGCCTCCCATGCTGAGGGTTCTGTGTAAGATGAAGATACACTTGGAAAAGCCGCCAAACTGTTTGCCAGCACTAGAGCCCTCATGCAGTGGGGTGGCAGAAACGCACAATATACACCGGCATGCACTGAAGGCTTCCTGTGCCACAGGCCCTGCCCACCTCGTCTGGTAGAAGAGGGTGTCACTTCAAGATAGACATGAGGAGTCAGCTGGGTCACTAGTCTTTAGTCACAGCAGGCTGAGAGAGAAGCCCACCTGAGGGACTGGGACATTTGGGCGCTACAGCTGGTGACTATTCCACTCAATCACACTAAGTACTAGAGATAATAAAGTATTAAAAACTTCGCTTCAAAATTACGCTATACATCAAAAGCTGAACTTACAAGACAGCAAGGGCAATGTGTGGAGACCTGGTATGTCGTTTGTTCTCAAAATAAATTCCATCTTACCCCAAAGCAAAAGTGCTGAGTTGCAGCTACTCACATTTCACCTGTAAACACACACACACACCAGTGGTGTGCTAGGAATGGTCAAGCACACAGGTCTGAATCAGTTATTACTGACACCTACATGCATGCTTGGCTCCTAGCTTGGGAGGCTTAGGAATGAGTTTGCTGAGTAACAACCATGAGAGCAGTAAGAAAGGATGCTGTGTGAAAGAAGGAACTCTAATGTTTTGGAACTCTACAAAAAGGACACTGTTCTAAAGTTCACTCTATCACAAATTCAGATAATGTTAAGATGTTTTTTGCTAGCACTATCGACTTGAAGACAAGTTAGGGCATCCAGCATCAAGGAGCCCCCATCACGAACCTTCTGCAGCACACAACCCCTGCTGAAGCAATGAGAAAGGGATACATACATCTCCAAATTCATAGAGTGTCCCGTCTTCTTTCTTTACATCGTGCTCCCTCAGCCACTCGATAGCATCTGAATAGTTCATCCGCCTGAAAGGCCGTTTAGGGGGTTTAAAGTTCTAGAGTAAGAAGAAGAAAAAAGCTGTGAATGAAAGGAAAACACCCAGACTAAAACGTCTGCTAACAAACAAAAAGGGGGAGCTGGAAAGATGGCTCAGTGGTTAAGATATGGGCTGCTCTTTCAGAGGACCGGGGCTTGGTTCCCAGCACCCATGTGGCAGCTCACAACCATCCTCGACTGGCTTCCAGATGCACAGACATGCAAACAAGCAAAACGGCTATATACATAAAATAAAATGACAGTGCAAGTAGGGGACTGGAGAGACACTGGGGATGGCTCAGCAAGTGAAGCCTTTGCCAGACAAGCCTGATAACTAGGGTCTGATCCATGGAACACAGGAAAAGGTGGAAGGAGAGAACCAACTTCACAAAGTTGCTCTCTGCCTTCCACATGGTGTCATGGTACAAGCACACTGTAAACATACAGCAATAATAAATTCTTTAAAAAAAGAAGGCAGTCCTACAGACCATTAATATGAAAGAAAAGAGCATTTCAGATGAAGAAGTAAACTACGGACTACCACTTCTATAGGTTAAAATATAGTTACTGGCAATTATCAATATTAAGTTTAAGTCTTCAAAACATTATCTACTTACTTCAGCTCAACAAACCTACAAAAACTGAGAGTGATTCTGTCTTTTACAAAGACTGGAATTCTTTCATTTCCAGAAAACAAAACACTACACCTACCGGGTTGAGGTCATACACTATGCTTGCCACTGGTGACTTCAAGACTCTGTCCACCACATCACACACTAGGTCCTCTAAACGGTTCAGGAGGTCCTCAAAGGTCAGGAAGGGACACTCAGCTTCCACATGAGTGAATCTGAAGAACAGACACACTTTTACACAAAGTTTCCCTTAAGCAAAGATCTGGACCTGGGCTGGGGAACCAATGCCCTGCTCTCACAACCCTCATTGAATGGTCAAGGAAAAAAATCAGAGAATAGACTAAGAAGCCTAAGAAGCCAAATGCCTTTTCTTGTTTCTTTGGCAGCGTCTTATAGCTCAGGCTGGCCTTGAACGCCTGGGATGACTGGCACGTGCCACTATGCCCCCTACTTTTATGTGGTACTGCCAACAGACCCCAGAGCCCTATGCGTGCTAAGCATGCACTCTCCCAGCTGAAAGGGACACTCAGTTTCCACATGAGTGAATTCAGCCAGGTGCCTTCGTGTTCTGGACTGTTCAGCCCTGTATGACTGGGCAATACAGAAAACATCCCCCAGGGCCGGAAGGCAGGTCTCCAGGTACAGCTGCGAGGACTGGGTTAAAAACGCTTCTTCTCCAAAATAGTCAAGCTTGAAGAGTGTGGCCCCACCTTCCACCTGCGTCTGCACCAGTGTTGGAGTAGTAACCTGTTAGGGTAAGAAGGAGCAAACAGGTCTGCTGTGGCCATCACTCATCCAAATGACACAGGGTGTCACTTGTAGAAGGCGACTTGTAACAGGCACTTACTTCACAGTAGCCTCTGTCGAAGAAGTGATCCCTGAAGCACCTGGTGATCATGGAGCGTGCTTTCAAGATTTTGGACATGTTCTCTCCTCGGATCATCATGTGCCGGTTGTTGAGCTGGACGTCTACGTCAGACTCCTCATTGATCAGGTTATCAGCCCCCCCAGCTGGGGCCAGCCCCACCAGCTCCCAGAAGTCACAGCTCAGCTCATGGCCTCCCGGAGCCTGTGGTTTAGAAAGAGGAAGGGAAGAGCAGAGGGAGTGAGACAGACACTAAATTGACAGTACGAAGATTCTGGCCCAAATTTTCAGTAAGATGTTCTAAGAACATTGTTGGTAGTTTCAGCTTCCGAAATTAGAGACCTAGTGACTCAAGTTGTAATTTTACATTTACTACTTCTTTCCATGTGAACACATTCATGCACACATGCACAAACACACTCTTTGTAAGTAAGAAGGCATATATTAAGAATTAAATCAACTCTAACTCCATGACCTGAAGTAATTACTTACAACTATCATGGTTTGTTTGTTTATTTATTTATTTTGGGTTTTTGAGACAGGGTTTCTCTGTGGCTTTGGAGGCTGTACTAGTTCTTGTAGACCAGGCTGGTCTCAAACTCACAGAGATCCTCCTTCCTCTGCCTCCCGAGTGCTGGGATTAAAGGCATGCACCACCACTGCCTGGCAGCATCATGTTTTATTTTTCTAGCATTTACCTAAAGATTTAGTTCACATACTTATTCATATTTCAAAATTTAAATGTGGAACTTAAGAGCTAGTTCAGTGGTTGAATGCATCCTACCCTTCCAGAGTACCTGAGTCCAGTTCCTAACACCTAAAGTGTGGCTCACAACCACCTTTAATTCCAGCTCCTGAGGGTCTACTCCTCTGGTTTCTGAGGGCATCTGCACTCGTGTATAAATAATTGAAGTAATAAAAAAATAAAGTCTTAAATTTAAATGGAAATATTTTACTAAAAGCAGTTTCTGTATCTATTTGAAGAAAATCAAAAATTTCCCTACTGACTCTACAGAAAGTAATTCTTTTTAAAAGCCTCACATTCATGGAACATGTATTTATCTTGTTGCCAAACACTGGACAGCAAGTAGCAGCATGACAACCACTCCACTTGCAATCACAGCACTTCCAGGAAGTGTGGTGAACTTCATGCACTCATTTTTATTACAGGGCAGGCTTTTCCATGGCCTCTGAGTGTTTGCTCCCTCTTGTGGTTAATATGCTACATTTATAGGTTTCTCTTCCTAGGCAACAGTTACAACCACAGAAGTTACTTGAATTGTAATTACCCACAGGTAACTGTTATTTGACTAGGTTATCTATCCTTGGATAAAGCACAAATATATTATCCACCCCCACTTTCTACCCATATTTTCCCCCCCCCCTTTCTTCCTTTTTTTTTTTTTTTTTTTTTTTTTTTTTAAAGAAACTACCAATTCCTGTTCAAAAGGTTTCAGTTTAGACTAATGTTTTCTGCAATTCTCTGCATGGTCAAGTTCTATTTCTACCTTGCTGAAGTTATTCCTATACCATAGCAGAGTGGATGCACAACTATCCAGGATGATTAGTAATGAATTAAGATGAAAAGCTGAGTCTTTAGTTTTTGAGGCAGGGTCTCGCTATGTAGCCCTGGCTGTCCTAAATTCACTATGTAGATCACACTTACTTCAGATTCATGGAAATCTATCAGCCTCTGCCTTCGAGTGCAGGGACTAAAAATGACATGTGCCCCCATGTTATTTTGATTTGATTGTGAGTTCTGCATCTTCTTAAAGTCATACTGACATTTACTTGCTATAAGGGGAGGTGCTCAGGTCAGCAGAAAACCCCTACCTGCATGAAGGAATTCCATCAATACCTCAGAGTTAGCTGATAAGTGATCACAAAACCAGATTTGTCACACACACAAACAAGTCAGTTCAGCACCATCACAATCTACTGAATGCATTCTTTAATGTCACAGCAAGAAAGCTGTCACCAAAAGTAGCACCACTATCATGGACTCCTCAACTCCAGAACTATAACAAAATTTACTTTTTTACATAAACTTCCCAGTCCATGAGACTATGTTATAGCTACAATAAGCAGACTAAGACAAACATGTTAGCACTTATATTTTACCAGAAAAGGACACAGTATAATGAATTTACAGTACTTCACATCTGTGTATTTATATGCCAAACACCAAATATACCAATAAGACACTGGAGAACAAACTACTAAATACCTATTCCTATTACTTTACTCCATGAGTTTACCTCACTCACCTGTTTGCCTTTTGGAGTTAGGTTTAGTGTTCCATATACTGCCACACTGCTCTCGGTGGACAAGACTACTCCATTGTAACACTGACACTGTAAAAAGGTCAAAGTTCGTATTAGGCTACTTACAATGATATTAAATTATTCTATTAAAGTTAAAGGAATTATTTACAAACAAGTTATTTGGCCAAATATTTGTAAAGTCAGGAGTAATTTCTTTTTTGAGATCTCACATAGCCCCAGTCAGCTTTGCACTTCTAATATTCCTGCCTCTACTTGCAAGTGCTGGGATGTGTGAGTGAGGTGGGGAGAGGGGGAGTGGGAGAGAGAGAAACCACTATTTTTGGAGAAGACAGAAGTATCAATGCACCCATGCACCACATAACATTTCTATTAGGAATGGAGGAATTTTACTTACTAGGTAGCTCATATTACCTACTGATATCATAGCAAAGTACACCCCAATATGTACTCAGTGAGATAGCCTACTAATGTATTCCTTGGACCATGGTACCATTCAGTAACACACGGCTATATAAAAACATATTTAAGTCCCCTTTACTTGAATGCACAAGCAGAAAAGACACTAGTCCCATCACATATCCACACAGTTCATTTTTTACTTAAATGGACAGAGCCCCTCTACACTATAATGACCAGTACATGCCAAAGTCATCAGTAGAAAAGTGATGGGCAATTTGACAACAGTGGGATAAGGCTGCTTACACCTAAAGCTAATAATTATAAAAAGGCAAGTGAGCATCATGTGCCTCTTGACATAACCAGACAGAGCTTTGCACATGAATCAGTCATTTGAAGGGGGGAAGGGAGGGGTATCAAACACTATCACTCCTAACTTCCACCTACAAACAGCACAGCAGAAGCACACTAAGTGACACCACAGGCAGGGAATTAACCAAACTCAAATGTAAGAGGCACCGCAGAACAATTTCTGGGGTTCCCTCCCACAAAAAAACTGGGAGCAGAAAGGAAGATAATAAACATCAAGGGGACACTGTTAAGAATTTGACATCCAGGGAAACAACCCAGGACCCACCATAAGCTGGTGGTTACCCAGGGCAGATCATAAGACTCTATACTGTTCTGTTTTTATATTTCTGAAAATTTCCAAGACAAAAGCTTTCTCTCTAACTATTCTAAGGTATAATCAAGACTTTTTACATTTATGATATACAACAGTTTTGACATAGGTATCCACAGTTAACACAGTAAACATTTAAAAGTATGTATATAGATCCTAAAATTCTCAAAACTTACAATAATGAACCCTATTAAATACAATCTTTCAGACATATGTAAGATAAAATACTTACCAAGTCATCTGACAAGACACACTGAAGATAGCCTGTACCATCTCGCAACACCAGAAACATCAAATTCTTTCCTAGAAACAAGAATTCACCCAGGGTACTTCACAATCCTCCCACAGAAAAGCAGCCCCAAGGCCAGTTATTAGAGTCCAGATCTCTCTTCCTCCTGTTTGACATTCCCCCACCCCTTCAAGCCTCATCTCTGTGTACTTTACGTTCTAACCACATGATCTTGGCCACCCATCCTATCATGGGACAGTAAGTCAGTCCCCCATAATGTAAAGAACAGAGCTGAGCACTCAGGAGGAGGGGCACAAGGATGTGAAATTAAACACTCATTTATATCTAATTCGTTTTTATGAAAGAGTTGATAATCACTTAAGTAATTAACTAATAAAAAGAGAAAAAAAGGTCACGATGAAAGCAATTATAAAAATCAAAACTAAGATGCTGAGCTGAGGAGACAGCATGTGGTTAAAGAGCTTGCCATGTAAATGTGAGATGTCAGATCCCAGAGCCCATGCAAATCCCATGCCAGATGGGTGTGGTGCCCCTCTTCCCTCATACTTCCAGCCTCCTTAAAGACGGGGTCTCCAGAGCAAGCTGGTTAGCTACACCAGTTGTATTGGTGAGCTCTGGATTTGAGTGAGAGACCGTGCCTCAAACACATACGGTGGAAGAGAGCTACTGGATGATTTCAGACATCAGTCTCAGGCCTCCACATACTCATGCCGCACACATTCAAACACAAATTCACACTCACCATACATGGGGGGAACCAACTAGAATACTAACCTAACACACACGCACGCACGCACGCACTCGGTGTTTACATTCCAGATCAGGATCCGTCGTTCCTTATGACACACACCTGTTTCTCATTAAGTAATTAAACTTCAATTTGAGGATGATGTACTTATTATACACCTCTTGATCAATGTGATTACTAACAGTTCAAGTCATATCTAAATACTCTTCAAACTTTCAGTGTCACATCACATGGGAACAAATTTAGGCTATCAATTATTACATCATTACATAAAAATTATTACATAAAAAGACAGTATGCAAAAATCCCAAACAAACTCAGAGAAATGTTTTTTGCTGTTCTTCACCTAAGACCAGCATAATTAAAATTGAAAAGAGGGCAAGAAAAACCATCCCACTCACCCTCCCTGAGTAACCTGTGGACCCAGCCAAACACCTTCACTCTTTGACCTCTATATCCTTCTAATGCACAAATCTTTACCTGTCAAATTTAGGTGAAAACTATGAATCATTTCATTTATCACAGACCAACATTTTCACTAATATTACATCCATCCATAGATTGTAGTAAAGTGTTAAAAACAATCACTGCTGGTTGTGGTGGTAGACACATTTAATCCCAGTACTTGTAAGGCAAAGCCAGGCAGATCTCTATAGATTCTAGGTCAGCAAGGAATACATAGCAAGCAAGACCTTTTTTGGCACACACACACACACACACACACACACACACACACACACACACACCACAAAAAAAACCCAACAACAACAAAAAACAAACCCAAACTAACAACAAAAAGCCCAAACCAACCAAACAACACCCCTACCATAACTGTTAGTACTGTAGTGGCCTATCCTTGGGTTCCTGACAGGATATGCCCTCAGCTGCAACCACTAAGAGCACCACCTGTGCACATTCATTACATTCCCTTTTAAAAACTACCCGCAACCCCCGCTGTCTCTCCCCCTTCCCTCTTTCTGCCCCTCTTTTCTCTCTCCTGCTGCTCACATCCCTGGAGGCTTGTCTCCCTCCTCCCCTTTCCCTTTTTATGATCCTTTTCCCTTAATAAAAAAACACCTTTAATCCCAGCACTCGGGAGGCAGAGGCAGGTGGATCTCTGTGAGTTTGAGCTCCAGAGTGAGTGCCAGGATATGCTCCAAAGCTACACAGAGAAACCCTGTCTCGAAAAACCAAAAAAAAAAAAAAAAAAAAAAGCCTCTGCTTGAACTCTGGCAAATGGCATCTTTCTTTCATGTGCTGCTTTTCTTACAACCAAACCAAACCAAAAAACCATGAACAATACAAATTGTGGGCTGTCATTCTACTGTAGGCTCAGAATCAAATACCTTACTATTCTGGGTAGAAACAAAAGAAAAGAAAAATTCTTTTTCCATTAGTGTAAAATTGGTAGTGAGAGATACCTAAAACTGTTTGGGATACTATTAAAGAAAATCAGTTAATAATTGAATTCACTTTGTCACATGAGATGTGCCTGTCCCCCACAATAGCAACAATCCCAGCCTCTCAGGTCCCTGTACACACCTATACACCAGGAAACTAAGGCAAAAAGGAAAATGTAAAGAGGAACTGGGTGGTGCAGGGAAGTAGGAGGAGGTGACAGACACTTGGCCAGCAAGAATATGAATGGAGCTCAAGCCACACTCCTGAATCAGCCGCCTGTCTGGGTCCCAGGAAAAAAACACAGGAGCAAACTTCCTTTCAAAGAATCATTAAATACCTCTTATGTATTTGTAAAGCTTATGAAAATCACAGATTTCGATCTTTTCACTTTTTGGTGAGGAAACTGATACTACAGAGAGCAAAATTATTTGCCTCAAACTACCCAGCATGGCCAGGTGGTACTCGACATCTGGTGTCCGTCAGTGAGAGCAGAATCTACTCATCACACAATTCCTAATTTTAGCAACAAAATGAACCTCTAAAAGCCAACAACCTCAACACTCAAAACACTGTCTCTCTCTTCCCCAAAAAGGAAAGACAAAACGTTAGAACAAAAGATGAGTATGCCCTGCAAACCCAAAGACAGCTTGGACACAACCATGCCCACAGTACCAGAAATGACGGACACTTACACATGCTGGCTCTGGGAGGCTTGGGTCGTTTTTAATGATAATTTTCTTTGCTTCCTCCAGGTTCTTTTCTCTCCGTAAGTTATCTTCTGCCTGATTTTAAAAACACCGGAATTGGTAAATGTAGTTATGGGTGCTGTATTATAAAAATGTACACAGTGGCAAATGCTGAGTCACCTCTTTCTTCTCCCGAGAATCATTCTTCATCTGCTCTCTGTGCCACATCTTTTTAATGTTCTTCATCTGGGACTTAGAAATGACATCCCACCTCTAGAGAGAGAGAGAGAGAGACAGACAGACAGACAGACAGGCAGACAGACAGACAGACAGACAGGCAGACAGACAGACAGACAGACAGAGCACAAAGATACCCATTATCTTCAACACCTCTATATGCTCAGAAAAACTTATCATTCACAAAGCATGCTCCTGAAACAGAATTGGCACACCCTACCTCATTTTCCTTTTGTGAATCCACATAAATGGTGGGAAATGGCTCTTTTCCAACTGTCATCAAAGCCTTGGGGGAGAGGGGGAGAAAAAGATTTCTTTAATATTATATGATCAGTAACAAAAACCACGCCTGGAACATGACCAAGAGCCCAAGGAAGTATCAGGTAGGACCCAACAAGCAAAACTCAGTGCCAATAGGATGACTGGCTGAGTCTCCTTCAGAAGGAGCTGGCTCTAGGAACACCCAGGTCATGCTACAGACAACCCCAACCAGTTCACCCACATAGTATTCAGTCTCCTATCAGGACAGAGTCAAATGGACACAGGGACAAGCACAGCTATGACAACAACAAAAGAGGCAGCAGAGAGCAAAAACCCCTTTGCAAATAATATCTGAAAGGTTAGTGTCTTATAACCAAGGCGGGACTTAACACAGGCAGATCTGAAACTCAACAAAATAACAGCCAGTTAGTTGCACAGAAGGCTAAGCTCTACTTAATCGAAAAATTCTTATGAGACTATTCTTTTTTCACCAATATTGGCATATAAGACATTACTGTATTATATATTTGCATATATATACTGTATTAAGTTTATATTTGTGTGTTTTAAGTCAGTTAACATAAAAATGAATTTAAAATGCTTGTTATACTTTTATTTAATGACTGGTGTGTGACGCATGAGGAGGGCGGGCAGAGGAGAATCAGCTCTCTTTCCCCATGTGGGTCCCAGGGACTGAACTCAGGTTGTCAAGTTTGGCAGAATCACCTTTACCCACTGAGCCACCTCACTGGTCCCCCAAAACTAATTTTTTGAAAACAGGGTTTCTAGCTCAGCCTAGTCTTGACCTTGCTGTGTAGCTGAGGATGACTTTGAACTCCTGATCCTCTTCTCTTTACCTTCCTAGTGGGGGAATTATAGGCTCAAGGCAAAGATGAGTATCTTAGTAATGTCGAGCACTGTCTGGGAATTTCTCCAGTTACTACATCACACAGGAAAAGAAATGTCTTATTCTCTCTGGAGATAAAATCTGAAATTTATAAAACCTGATTCGGAGATCCTACCAAGCATCTAGTCTTTGCCTGTGTGAGCCCCCATTAGGTCTGTTGAACTGTCCTACTTTGGCTGCTCTGTGAGTCATGGGCCCTGAGATGTCTGGTTTTAGCTAGAGGCCATAAAGTTACAAAGAACAGTCACTTGGGGGTATAAACATCTATGAAGAAACATTAGCAACACTGACTTAAGATTAGCTAAGACACCCCCCTGCATACTAAATGAAACTCCCCCAAAACATAAAAGGAACAAAAGGAGGAATGCCCAAATTCCTGGAAAATCTCCACCCATTCCCACAAAAGACATGCAGAGCACCCAATCCTCTACCTCATCCTCTTCACTCATATTCTAAACCCTCCAGCCCCCAAGACCCGAGAAGCTAGCTTGCAAGTTTATCTCCCTCTTCTACTATTCTTGACCATGTTTTCCTTCATTGCTCCAAAATCAAGGGCAAGAGAAACCCTAACCTTTTAGTGTAACTTAGTCCACTATGGTGCCTGCTGTAGAGCAGGAATAGGAATCTTCTGAAAAGACCAAGAGACTTAACAGTGAATTACCATAGGATTAGTCTTGTACCACATCAATAATGGCCCCACACAGCTGCATCTGCAGAACACTCAGAATTTAATTCTTTCCTGACACTGATACTCATTTTTTTATGTCAGGGATGGAAAGGGCCTATCATTCCTCATAACTGAATGGCATACTCGAACTGCAACATTCCTTTTTTGAGGGTCACCTAAAGTGTTATCAGTTTTGCAAAGTGCAAGAGATGTCTCAATTGAAAAAGACTTAAAAGTTAAAAAAACAAAAAACAAAAAAAGACCCTGGCATGATATATTAAAGCGTGACTTGGCCTGATCTAAAAAGATCAGGTTAAGAGGATTTGATGACTGATGTTGTCAGGCATCTATAAAAACAAGAATTGACCAGATATGGATACATAGAAAAAGGAGTGTCAGGGTCTTGCTCTTCCAAAGAGGGAGTATTTAACCTTTCCCCTTATAGGGTAGTGAAAGCCAAAGGACTCGGACATTCCAGTTCAACGGGTCTGTCAATGAATAAATAGCATGGTGGGGGCACCTTGGACCACACTTTAACCTGGTGGAAACAGCTGTGAGTTGAAAAACTCCTGGAACATGTGTAATAGTCCAGTTAGAATGAGATAACCTCACATGATGTTCCGAGGCCCTGAAATAGCAGTACATTACTGAAGAGGCATTTTTGTCTTCACCCTTCAGATCATGAGTCTGCTTTGAGAAGTGGTTCATGGATGGGCTGTAGCTATGTCTAGTTTTTGAGTCTCAAGGTCAAGATGATCTCTGTACTATGATAAATAACATCAAGAGACCTCTCTTAGACTCACCCAGGCACGAGCTCAGAGTGATTCAGGGGTAACTTTTACTGTTACAAGAGCTGAAATGCAGGCAATCTGATGAATTAGAGAGAAAAAGTCCAGAGATAAACTCCTCCTGAAGAAAGGGAAAATAACTGTTTTAAATGTAAAAAAAAAAAAAAAAAGTTTGATCTAATACTATTAAATCAACATGTATGTACATACCCTTTTCTTTCCCCTTTTGGGAGACTTGAAATAAAACTACTGGGCTGAGGAGATGGCTCACTGGGTAAAGGGGACTGCCACTAGGCATGATGAACTGAGTTTGAGTTTGGTACCCAACAGTCACATGGAGGAAGAACAGAACAAATGGAGCAAGTTACCTTCTGATTCCATATCTGTGCTGAGGCACACAAATACTACTCCCCTACACACACCACGAACAAGGTGGTATCTTCTTTTTAAAGAAAGAATGAGATAAAATCCTTGACAACTCACTTCACTACCAACAGTCATTCCTAAATGTGGAGCAGTTACCCCAATGAGGTTACCTTTAGGCCTGTTTTAAATGGTTTCTCCTTAGTTCCATCTCCTGTTGCATCATTTCCTTCTCGATCAGAGACATACAGCTCTGCTGTTTTTTAAAAGATGGAAAAGTTACTCATCATATTCATCAATAACTCTCTCTTTAAAGTGCTGCTGTTACATCCATTTTCTATCTTTAGGAACAGAAAACTCCCACAGCCCAAAAGAAATCAACATTATTATTTTTCCAATCTTCCTTTTAAAAAACTATCCCACCTAACACAATAAATTACAAATCTGACTTTTCTAAAGGAACTTTTGTTATTTTAACTGTTAATACTTCTCTTTACTTGACTGTACAACAATAAAGCCAGAATTTTGAAATTCATCCTATCTTGATCAAATAAATGCTGTACCTTAAAAACCAGGGTGACCTGGGGAGAATTTATTTAACCTTTCTGTGTTTATTTCCTTATCTATAAAGTCAGAAAAATATACAGCTTACAGGGTTGTATGTACTGAGGATGAACTAGAACAAGGTGTGAATCAAGCATCCCAGGAAACGAAGCACAGACAGCAAATGAAGACGTCGGTCCCCTCTGCTTTTCAAAACAAACCCAACTCTGGGGCTAAACCGCAGAGGGCCTCACGACTGCTAGGTTTAACTGTGACATTGCCTCGGTCTCTTAAATCTTTTATTTTTACTGCTGCAAATCTCAGCAGAAAAATGAGACTGTGCGAAAAATAATTAAGTCTTAAATCCATCCCAGAAGATCAACTGAAGAACTGCTTATTTGGGGGTTTCTCT